TAGTTACATGTCAAAGGACTTGTTGTCTTTCCCTTTTGAATATTTATTAATTTAAGATTTTTCACATTATTTAAACCTCGATTTAACTATTTATATTAACTTTTTATTACTCCCTCTTCCTTTCTCATATTGAAATTGATAATACCATAAACAATATAGGTTGTCTTTGTCATTCAGACGATCTCAATTGAATTCATCCGCAACTCCAAAGTTACAAAACTAGCCAAGGTGGACCCACAATGTGGGTTTTTATTATTTTTCAAAACAAAGAAATGGGTTTTCATTATTTTTTAAAACATAGCAATGGGTTTTTTTTTTATTATTTTTTAAATTTTAAAAATAAAAAATCGATTGTATTTATCAATTAGTGAAGGATCTTTCAAAAATGTTTAAAAATTCTTTTTTTAACTGAGTATATTTTGCACACCACAGCACATGCTTCGAGTTTTACAATGTACAAAAGTTGAAAGTTGAGGAATTTTGGTTGCCAAACCGTTCACATACACTTACTTGGCCTTCATGTTCATATACTTTAATTTGGACTGACTTGTGTATGAATGCTCCGATATGAAAGATGAGATTGTACCCTAAAAAATTGAATATGCTCTTCATTATTCCTTTCTCAACTATTGTTACTTTGAACCACGCCACATATTAGTCCGCTAATGGTGATAGGAAAGTGTACATTAGAAGATGTTTTTACTTTTGGGTATTATACAAAAAAAATTAATAAAATAAAAAAATTATAGTTATAACTCAATTTGTTGAACCCTTCAGAGTAGTTCATTAACTGAGCTTATTCTCTGATAATCTAGATATTTTAAGTTCAATACTTCTTATACCCCCTAAGGAGCAATCACCTTTATTCATAAAGAGAAATGTTCTAAATTCAATCTACCTACAATCACCAATATTCGGACTTCACTAAATAATTGATACAAATTTAAACACCTTGTAAAAAAAAAAACTCAATCTACTACAAACTATGGTCTTGAAAAATCGATCATAACATTTAAGATCAATCTAATAAAATAATTATAAAAAATTTGATTGTTTGGAAAAAGATTATAATATTTTAGAATTGATCATTATTAAAATAGTAAAATTTACAACGCCTATATTGTAAGTTATAATTGATTAGTATTATCACAATTTAATAATAAGATGATTTGACTGTTAACTTTTTTTGCCAAGTTAGATTGGCCGTTAAATTAAATTCTTATTTTTTCTAAATCGGTCGTTATAGATACTTATTTCTTGTCATTGTTTTTAAAACTCAATAATTTTATCACTTCGATTGCTTATTTGTTTATTCAACAAAGACTTTTATAATTTGAACCGGTAATTGAATACCTGAAAAAATTAATTTTAAAAAAAATCGTAAACTCATTTGTCTTGTAATCGAATCTTGTTACACTCATGATTAACAGGTTTCAAAATTTGTTTTGTCCTAATGAGTTTAATGTAACACTCCCTCGTGGAAGTTCCTGGTTTTTTTTAAAAAAAAAATTACTTATCATTTATTTTTCAAACAATTTTTCATTCATCAAGTAGGNGAATCCTTAACATTTTTCAACAAAAATTATAAATTTGTTTTTTGTCTTAGTTTAGCAATATACCCATCCAGAAAGAATATTCTCTAATTTGAGCCCCTTTTTTTTTGTCCATGAAAAGTGACAACAAAATTCAAACTAGCAACTTTAAAGACCAACCAAAAAAAAAAAAACCCAGTACCTTTGTGATTTGGTAAGTTCTAATCAGATCAAAGCCTAATACTAAGAACGCAAAGGAGCTATCATTCTCTGTGTTCAAACACTCAAATGTGTATTCACCTTTTCTGAGCTAGAAAAACACCAATATGAGGGAACAGAAAGAAACTCCAGGGAAATAAAGGAATACCTCAACTCCCCCCTCATGCCAAACCATACGGCCTGAAAGTCATTTCCCAGGCATCCTGTAGACTATGATCTCCAACTTAATCGCACACTTCATGCAACAGAGTATGAATCGGGCAGTATACATCAAATTTGAGTTAGAAATGTCCCAAACAATACCAGAGTGGAGTACAGATCGATGATTCACAATGGTAAAAGCGACTAAAAGAGCATAAAAGAAACTCAAAGCAGCTGACTTTAAAGATTCCACACTATTTATACCNTGTCCCAAACAATACCAGAGTGGAGTACAGATCGATGATTCACAATGGTAAAAGCGACTAAAAGAGCATAAAAGAAACTCAAAGCAGCTGACTTTAAAGATTCCACACTATTTATACCCAGATCCTACTGTAAAACCAAGTCAAATTCAAATGTGCCATAATTTCTGCATTGGTTGCACTACCATGTTGCGAAGTTAATCCTCACCATATATTCAACCATGCTATAAGCAGATTAAAGGTAATGCACTTGTGATGAAAAGTCAATAAAGATACTGAAAGCAGTTTCTAAGAAGGATTAAAACATGAGAATGCACGACCACATGAACTCTCATGCAAAAGTTTCTCTAAATGACCAGAGAAACAAATTTCTTTAACCCTAGCATCGTGAGAAATGGTATACACAATGAACTCTCCCAAGAAACAAGTTTTTCCCACTGGGATGGAATCGTAGGATTTACATACAATGAACAACAACAATTCATTTATACTCATCCCTATGCAACAAAAATTAATGCCAAAGTTCAATGTTTAATATGGATGCTGAATATTCTACATACAATGCCCATGTTCTCCGAAAGAAAGAAAGAAAGAAAGAAAGAAAGAACTATACTATATAGCAACATGTATAGGAAGCTATATCCAAGGATGGCAAAGATTCAAGTAAATGTTTCCAGCATCCATAAGGACAAAGTTACCAAAAATGTGCAGGAAACTAAACCATCAGAATNGCAAAGATTCAAGTAAATGTTTCCAGCATCCATAAGGACAAAGTTACCAAAAATGTGCAGGAAACTAAACCATCAGAATGCAGCAAGTTCTACACAAATATTATTTCATACCAGGCTTTGGCACTGCATAACCTAACTAAAAATGTTTTACAACTTGAAGTAGTAGAACTTTAAGAAGACCATGTCCTATGCTACAAATATAGATGCCAACATTCAGTAGTTAAGCTGAATGCTAAAAGTTTTGCATAAAAATGTGCTCCAAAAACAGAAATATACCCATATACCAAAGACATTATAGCTTCATGCTCAACTTAGAAGATATCTACATGCAAACAGAAATTCAGTACCCATATCCGAGGGCAGTAGACATATGAAGTAAATTTCCAAACTCTTTATAATTTGTTGACACCTGATTTGTGCACAAAGAATATATTCAGAATAATACAACAATGACATAGTTATTGAAAAAATCTAATACCTATGACCAAGTTACCAAAAATATGCACTGAATTTACTCATCAGAATGCCAGAGGTCACACGCATAGCTTTGGCATGATATAACGAAGTCAAAAATGGCATAAAACTTGAAATATCAAAGTATATTCATATATCATGTCTTATGCTACAGATACAGATGTGATCATTCAGAGTTTAACCTGAATGCTTAAGATTTTGCATGCAAATGTTGAAGTACTCCAAAAACAGAAGTATATCATAGGGCAAAGACATATATAAGCTAAATGCACAACTTAGAAGATACCTACATGCAAAAAGAGATATAGCACCTATATCTAATGCGAGTGGACAGATGGAGTAAATGATTTAGATTCCAAATTCTTTTACATTTTGTCCGCAGCTGGTTAGTGCAGGAAGAATATACCCCATAACGACACATTAATGACCTAAATTACTAACAAAAATCTAACCATAACTCAGTTACTAAAAATATGCGTGCCGCTAAACCATCAGAATGCCCAAAAATTCTACACAAAACCTATGATGTCATACAAGGCAACATAGTTAAAAATGGCATGCAACTTGCAATAGTAAACCATGATATTTACATCACGTCCTTGCAGAATGCAACCCACTTTACATNATAGTTAAAAATGGCATGCAACTTGCAATAGTAAACCATGATATTTACATCACGTCCTTGCAGAATGCAACCCACTTTACATGTGCAATAAATTGTTCTTCTCATAAACCTTGTTAAGATAGCTGACACCGCCAATATCTTCAACATCAACATCAACATCAACCTCCACTAAAACCTACCATGACAACTCACTTCTACGACCAAAAGGGTTCATCTGCTAATGCTCCTAACTATAATATGTAAAAGCGCACACAATTTTGGAAAGCCCACAAAACAACCATTCCAGTAACAAAAACATATGAAATCCAAATCTCCTAAACTTCCATATATCCATCAACAACCCACAAAATACACATCTATATATATAGATATATCTATATCACACAAAAAAAATACTGCATTTTAACATAGAATAACAAACACAGGAAGTCATAAATTTTCTGAGTAGCATTGCATGAGATAATCTCCATNCCATCAACAACCCACAAAAAACACATCAATATATATATATATATATATATATATAGATAGATATATCTATAACACAAAAAAAAAAATACTGCATTTGAACATAGAATAACAAACACAGGAAGTCATAAATTTTCTGAGTAGCATTGCATGAGATAATCTCCATTTTTTTACAACAAGCCAGGGGTTGATGGGTAAGAAGATCAGAGATCAAGAGGATCTAAACCTAACGACAGACGATCCTCTTTTCGTTTACAATGAATAACATGACTTCAACAACAGACTCATTAATCCAAAAGACCATAGATAGTTGAAATCCCCCAGATTGGCATAGCAAGATCATATCACAACCTCTAACCATAACATTAAAAAGGAATTCTTTTCAAACAGACTCATAAAAGACAGCCGACTGTTCGATATTTATCATCTTGGTTTTAATCCTGTCTATGATTTCTCTTTTTTTTTTTTGGGGTTTTTTCTCCGCATAAAAAGAGAACAAAAAATATTAAAAGATTGATAAAATGGTTTGGATTGATAGGATCGACCGTCACAGACAAAGATTTGTGCAGTGAAGATCATCGCCCACAGAGTCAACATCATCAAGCGACGGAGGTAAGTTTAGATCGAAAGGCAAGGGTTTCCGAACCGATGACGAAGCAATATCTCCGTCTCCATCATCAACCACCGACGAGGACGAGTCACAATCGCTGTGGCAATCGTCTGGCAGCAAAGGCGGCGACCGAGGGTATCTCCGGGACGGTATCACAACCGGCTGAGTCTGCCTGGGGCCACTGAACGACTCAACTGTACTACTCAAACTGCTAGTGGTGGGCCTCTGGGCGACGATCGGGTGCTCTGGAGGGTAATTCTGAGAGAACAAACGGTGATCGACGAAGGGATCGTTAGGGTTTTGATGAAACTGAGGGTAGGGATTCAAAGGAGTGGTTATGGGGAAGTTGGTCTTGGCCTTGGGACCTCGAAGCGAACGAGCAGCTGCGTCGTAGGCTCGAGCAGCGTCCTCCGCCGAGTCAAAAGTCCCCAACCAAACCCTAGCTTTTTTCCATGGGTCTCTGATCTCTGCTGCAAATCTTCCCCATGGTCTCTTTCTCACTCCTCGGAACCTAATCTCTTTCGATCCTCCAGATCCGTTAGCTTCTCCGGCCCCAACCATGGTCTGTTGCTCAACCACCGCCACCTTGGCCGTTCTGACTCTCCGCATGGCCGGAGTTTGAAGATCTAAAAAAAAGTTTTGTATACAGGAAACAAGAGAGAGAGAGAGAGAATAGATGTAAACAATTCAGTAAATGTAATATCTAAAGAACAATGACCCCAATACCACCAGAGAAGATAATCTCACTTTCTCTCTCTAACGCTTTCTTTTTTCCTCTCTCTACTGTGGATGTGAAGAGAGGAAAGAGAGACGAGGGTTTTCTCTCTCCTCTCTCCGTCTCACTTTTTTTCTTCCTCTTGGTTTTGGGGTTTGCTTTCTCGATTTCTCTACCGTGTCTCGCCCCCACAAACCGACTCGACTCAATTGTACTACCTTCTTTCTCCCCCATGCTTTACCCTTTATTTATTTCTGATTTTTCTATTGGAATAATTAGATGATCGATATTACTAAAACACCCTTGTGATTTCCTCAATTTCCTTTTTTACCTATTTATTGTTGGGACTCTAACTAGGTATTCAAGTCTATTCCCCGGCAACTCCATCAAACTCGAACATATTAGTCACTGTATAGTTGGAACTAATTCATAACATATTTTTTGAAAAATAAGAGTGATTAGTCTTTAAAAGAGATAAAAAGTGTTAAATTTTAAATTTTAAATTATTAAAAGACAAATTATTCTTCGCTCTAATAACTTTCTGGTTATGTCACTTTTTATACTTCATTTTTTACATAACTGGAGATGGTAAAATTGCGCAGAGAATATATTGGTTGATCCGATAGGCGTAACTTCTGANAAGAGTGATTAGTCTTTAAAAGAGATAAAAAGTGTTAAATTTTAAATTTTAAATTACTAAAAGACAAATTATTCTTCGCTCTAATAACTTTCTGGTTATGTCACTTTTTATACTTCATTTTTTACATAAATGGAGATGGTAAAATTGCGCAGAGAATATATTGGTTGATCCGATAGGCGTAACTTCTAAATGCTTATGTGTATATAAGATTTAAGTTGTAATTAAATGCCTAAAATTACATAAATAGACAATGCTCAATTATAAGAAAAAAAAATCGTAATATGAACCATTAGGGTCCGTGCTATAACTTATTGTCCAAATGGGGTCTTATTCTTATTATAGTATTGAAAATGATCGATCGATCGANAACTTCTAAATGCTTATGTGTATATAAGATTTAAGTTGTAATTAAATGCCTAAAATTACATAAATAGACAATGCTCAATTATAAGAAAAAAAATCGTAATATGAACCATTAGGGTCCATGCTATAACTTATTGTCCAAATGGGGTATTATTCTTATTATAGTATTGAAAATGATCGATCGATCAAGCATACAAGCGGATAATAGTTGGGAAAATTCTTTTAAGGAGCTAACGTTTAAGTGTAAACTGTGGTTAAAAGAGCAAGTACTAGAAAAATCAGAATATTTCGTGAAAATATGTGAACAAAATAGTCAATAATATACTACTAGTAAAATGTTACGTAAAATTTCACTATTATGTAATTGCATCTTGCATGATCGACATACTGTGTTTACGTTTAAAAAGAATTAGGCTCTTATGTTGATTATCTATTGGGTTTTAATAAATCTTTTATTTTTATCTCTAATCCGTTACAGGCACACCTTATTTTTCGATTTTAACGGTAATGAATGTCTGCATCAGTTTACACTCATTTTAACTAATCTCCTCTTCAGATAAGTTAAATACAAAGTCATTCACATTATGATTAGAGTATTATTCATGAGAAATAAATTTTTTATAGTCTATTTCTAAAGGATTGTCAATATTCAAACTCAGGACGTCTGAATTTATAATTTGATTCTATTACNTTTTAATAAATCTTTTATTTTTATCTCTAATCCGTTACAGGCACACCTTATTTTTCAATTTTAACGGTAATGAATGTCTGCATCAGTTTACATTCATTTTAACTAATCTCCTCTTCAGATAAGTTAAATACAAAGTCATTCACATTATGATTAAAGTATTATTCATGAGGAATAAATTTTTTATAGTCTATTTCTAAAGGATTGTTAATATTCAAACTCAGAACGTCTGAATTTATAATTTGATTCTATTGCTACTTTAACTATTCTTTCTTGAGTCTGCAAAAGAATTTTTACCATCTTCAATTCCTACATAAGTTCTCCTCTCTATTTTCCTACTTCATTTTTAGGTTATATAACAAATGCATGCAATATATGCCCAAGCTTTTGTGATATGCCATGCAAAAGGAAAGAAAGAGTTAGGAGTGACTACTACATTACAGCACACTGGTCTTTCAAAACAATGTTACAAACTGATTCAAAGTAGTAGTGGTTGTAACTTAATACCATATGAAGAACTAAGCCATTCAGGTAATAGGAGCTCCACTGCTGGAATTGCTTTAGATTTCTTCTAAAGTGTGTTAATTTTTCAAACGAAGGTTAAGTAAACTATTTTCCATACTCGACATTCTTAAAAAGCAAAACCTCGACGAAGAATTGAAAATTTTGTGACANTTGTAACTTAATACCATATGAAGAACTAAGCCATTCAGGTAATAGGAGCTCCACTGCTGGAATTGCTTTAGATTTCTTCTAAAGTGTGTTAATTTTTCAAATGAAGGTTAAGTAAACTATTTTCCATACTCGACATTCTTAAAAAGCAAAACCTCGACGAAGAATTGAAAATTTTGTGACATTATGACTCTGTGCATGGAATGAACACGTACTTATAGTAATGCTTAGACGTAATTATAATTTATGCACTAGTTAATTAAGAGATTTTTACCATATCTAAGAAAATGATGCTTTACATTCTTCCTTATTTTAGCGTGTTTTTTAAATTTTTGAGAAGATTGTATTTTCAGTAATTGTATATAAATATTTTACTTCCTATACTTTTCCCTTTTTATGTATTTAGATTGAATTATCAAGAAATTTAGGCCTACTATTCATTGGTTAATGATAGGTCGAGCNTCTAAGAAAATGATGCTTTACATTCTTCCTTATTTTAGCGTGTTTTTTAAATTTTTAAGAAGATTGTATTTTCAGTAATTGTATATAAATATTTTACTTCCTGTACTTTTCCCTTTTTATGTATTTAGATTGAATTATCAAGAAATTTAGGCCTACAATTCATTGGTTAATGATAGGTCGAATAATATTCATTTTTATAGTGTCGTAAAAAATTTTAGTGTCAATATCATTAACTTTTTTTTCTATTTTCATTTTATTATCTCTTTTTAGCCTGTATAGATTCTTCCATCTTTGTCTGATTATCCTTCATTCAAAAATTTATTTTCTCTAAGTTTTTTTTTTTTTGTTAAAAAAAATGTAAGTCATGCTTCCATGCAGGCACTGCAATCTCATTCTTTAATCTTTGTGAGTTGAGTTTATCGAGGTGAAAGAGCGGTTTTATTGTGAAGAAAATCATCAAACTCACAAACGTCAACGCCAATAGGCCGAGTGAAAAAAAAAAAGCATTTCAAGNAAAATCATCAAACTCACAAACGTCAACGACAATAGGCCGAGTGAAAAAAAAAGGCATTTCATGTTTTTCTTACTAAGACGCATACATGGATAAGAATAAAAAAAAGGGGGCAACTGAGAAAGACGAGATATACATAATTTTACTATTAACAAAAAAATATTTTCAAAACTAGAACTAATGACATCAAATTATTATTATAAAAAAATGATATTAAGTTTTTACCCTTGGTCAATTGCAATCCACAGTTACATGGACAAGAGCAAAGGCTAAAAGTTAGTTCCCATTTGCATCAGAATTGTTCCTTGTTATTATTGGATTCATTAATTGCACATCATGATGCTTGTAAAAGACTTGAGCAAACCATGTGCTAAAATGAATTCACCTTTCATTTTTTTTTCCTTTTTGGACACTTAAAATGATAGATGAGCAATCAAACCATGCGCTAGAATACATCGAACCAGCTATAAATCTAAAAGATATTATACATGCATAACGTTTAGGATGTGTTCTTTAGTTACATGTCAAAGGACTTGTTGTCTTTCCCTTTTGAATATTTATTAATTTAAGATTTTTCACATTATTTAAACCTCGATTTAACTATTTATATTAACTTTTTATTACTCCCTCTCCCTTTCTCATATTGAAATTGATAATACCATAAACAATATAGGTTGTCTTTGTCATTCAGACGATCTCAATTGAATTCATCCGCAACTCCAAAGTTACAAAACTAGCCAAGGTGGACCCACAATGTGGGTTTTTATTATTTTTCAAAACAAAGAAATGGGTTTTCATTATTTTTTAAAACATAGCAATGAGTTTTTTTTTATTATTTTTTAAATTTTAAAAATAAAAAATCGATTGTATTTATCAATTAGTGAAGGATCTTTCAAAAATGTTTAAAAGTTCTTTTTTTAACTAATGAGTATATTTTGCACACCACAGCACATGCTTCGAGTTTTAATATGTACAAAAGTTGAAAGTTGAGGAATTTTGGTTGCCAAACCGTTCACATACACTTACTTGGCCTTCATGTTCATATACTTTAATTTGGACTGACTTGTGTATGAATGCTCCGATATGAAAGATGAGATTGTACCCTAAAAAATTGAATATGCTCTTCATTATTCCTTTCTCAACTATTGTTACTTTGAACCACGCCACATATTAGTCCGCTAATGGTGATAGGAAAGTGTACATTAGAAGATGTTTTTACTTTTGGGTATTATACAAAAAAAAATTAATAAAATAAAAAAATTGTAGTTATAACTCAATTTGTTGAACCCTTAAGAGTAGTTTATTAATTGAGCTTATTCTATGATAATCTAGATATTTTAAGTTTAATACTTCTTATACCCCCTAAGAACTAATCACTTTTATTCATAAAGAGAAATGTTCTAAATTCAATCTAAATACAATCGCCAATATTCGAACTTCACGAAATAATTGATACAAATTTAAACACCTTGTAAAAAAAAAAAACTCAATCTACTACAAACTATGGTCTTGAAAAATCGATCATAACATTTTAGATCAATCTAATAAAATAATTATAAAAAATTTGATTGTTTGGAAAAAGATTATAATATTTTAGAATTGATCATTATTAAAATAGTAAAATTTACAACGCCTATATTGTAAGTTATAATTGATTAGTATTATCACAATTTAATAATAAGATGATTTGACTGTTAACTTTTTTTGCCAAATTAGATTGGCCGTTAAATTAAATTCTTATTTTTTCTAAATCGGTCGTTATAGATACTAATTTCTTGTCATTGTTTTTAAAACTCAATAATTTTATCACTTCGATTGCTTATTTGTTTATTCAACAAAGACTTTTATAATTTGAACCGGTAATTGAATACCTGAAAAAATTAATTTTAAAAAAAATCGTAAACTCATTTGTCTTGTAATCGAATCTTGTTACACTCATGATTAACAGGTTTCAAAATTTGTTTTGTCCTAATGAGTTTAATGTAACACTCCCTCGTGGAAGTTCCTGGTTTTTTTTAAAAAAAAAATTACTTATCATTTATTTTTCAAACAATTTTTCATTCATCAAGTAGGACACAAACGTCATGAAGTGAATTTAACATACCCCTCCCTGTCAAACCTCCACAATATCCTTTTTACCATGCTGTGGGCCCACCATTTACTGACACGTTAGCCAAGATAAGTCCACAGAACAGAAGCCCAACTCTCTCTCTCTGTTCATATTGGGGTGGGGCCCATTCCGCAGCTTCTCAACCTTCCCCCCCTACACAAAACCAAAACCAAAGAGTTGGTTGAATTTGACCACACTCCGCACCAACTACCAAACCTCCACTCCCAAAGAGTCTTTCAACGTTGAGAAACGTGGGTAGGCCCACCCATCTGGCACGTCTGACACCTGTCCGCCTCCAGTCACCCCACACTCCGCTGTCATAGACAACTTCTCTTTCCGCCTCACCACCTACCGGCTCAGCAGGTAACCTTTAATTAAATTAATATTTGAATAAAAAAATTTATCCTATTTAAAATAATATTTCAATATTCAAACTCAAATTTAAATAAAATAAACTCTGAGTAAGAAATGATAAAATCTAACCATTAAAAATTTAAATTTGACTTAATTTTAATAAAAATTTGAGTGATTCTTTTTTTATTTATTATGAATTTAAGTAAAAGATTAAATTTTTTTATTTAATTTGTATTTAGTTGAATTTGAGTAATAATTAAAGTAAGGATTGGAGATGTACTTGGCTATAAATAAATAAATTAAGACTTACTTTTAAATTCATTATAGTCTTCATAAAAATCTGTTTAGTAAAAGAGTAAATTTTAATTCTGCTTTTTTTTTTTTTATCAGAATTAAAATATTAGTTGGAAAATTGGTAAGACGTTTAACCGGCAGGTTCCGGGGACAAAAAGCTGGATCTATGGGACCGGCCCCCACCACTATCTCTCTCTCAGTCTCTCCGACTGACCCGTCTCATTATTCGGGGGGACTCAGCTGTCACGCCAACCGGCTGATTGCTACTTGGTAGTTTTTTTTTTTATCTATTTTAATATTAATCTTTTTTGACCGGTTAAACTCGCAACTTAGATTAATTATAGACGATTTACATATTAGGGCGAAAGATGAAACAATAATTTAAATGGAAAGAGGGATTAGACTTACCCAAAAAAAATGAAAGAGGGATCACTTGTAAATTTAGATATCATACGATAATTTTTTAAGTTTAAATTACAAAAAATTTATATTTTATAAATATCTTAATATTAACACGAATGATTTGCTTAATAATTTTTTTTATACTTATTATTTTTTTTCTTTTGTTTAATGGTGTAATGTGTTTGGACCAGTTTAGGTATATTTTGACTAATTTTTTTTCTAATTTAATTAAAGACAGATCATTCATACTATAACTAATGTATTCATGAAAGATTTATAACCTATTCACAAAGAATTTGACAAAATNTAATTAAAGACAGATCATTCATACTATAACTAATGTATTCATGAAAGATTTATAACCTATTCACAAAGAATTTGACAAAATTTGATCTCATAAGGTTTAAATTATTTAAACTACCTCCTGAGGTTAGTTGATATAATTTTATTATTATATTTAATATTTTCTTTTTTTTCAATCCAGTTAGCGTTACTCCATTTTATAATAAAATTGTTTTTTGGAAAAGTTTCCTTCTAAATCACGATTAATGAGCAAAAAAAGACGCAGCGGTTGCGATGGAAGCACGCTAATTCCGGGAATCATCGCAGCTTTCCCGCCTCTGTCTCCTTTTTGTTGGTTTTATTTTGCGCGGGAAAGTGGAAACCGATTAGCGCGTTTACGCAACCTGCGCCATTTTATTTTCTACTTACATAAAATTGCTAAGGTACACCGCGTGCTACACTGTCCACGGAAGATACAGATTACGGACTACACGTCTCTCTATGATTGGACTCATCAGTCAAAAAGTTTTATTTGTGCTGATACGGCATCGTATTTGAGCTGCTCTCAACTCATCTGCATACCGAAATTTATAATATTTTATTGATCGTAATTTGCTATAATCGATACAAATTATAACTAATTTTTACTTAAAAAATATTATAACTTAATTTTAAAATATAATTTACTTGCATAAAATTGAAAAATCAATCAGTATGATTTGGGCCGGCTTTGCTCATTTAATAATCCAGGACACCAAAATTTGTTGCGGGGGAGATTGATTTGGGCTGGCTTGGCATGCAAGCTCCCTTGATCTGTCTTCAGTTCGATTCGTAATGCTCGTTAGCTCCAACAAACCTTAACATAACAGTCTCTTGCTGCCTAAAACCAAGCCAACAAAGCACTACGTTTGATCTTGTGTGCCCAAAAGAATGCTATTTCCATGGCCTGGTAGGTCATAAGCAATGGGCCTTTATAAAGTGGGTTAGTGCAGTATGAAAGTGAATCAGTGGTGGGCAATTCAAATGGGCCACATGAAAATCCAATAGTCCAACACTTAAGGGCCTAGACGACAACTACGACGCCATGGACAACAAGCTATAAAGCTACTGATGTCATATTTGTTAATGTTAGAGCATGTAGATTGTCACTGTTCAGTAATTAGCTAGCTGTATTGTCGCCGTCGTTCAAATGGTTTGGACGGACAAGATAGGCGCGTGTGTCATATTTTGTTAGTAAATTTATCGCATCGTGTCATTTGAATTTGTACCAAAATTTAGAGAGGGCAAAATGTGAGAATTGCGACGATAAGAATGGGACTGCAGCCTGCACATTACTCATTGTTCGTCTCCACAAAGGAATTTCGTCAAAACACTCATATAACCTTTGGGGTTGAACAACGTGTGAATCCTAAGGTCGGCCAAGATGTCCACTTCCTATTCATATGATTCTCATCATGTACTTAAAGGCCCAACATTTCAACCCTAACTGAGAAGATCCAATGCACGAATCAAATGGATAAATGGGCTGCATATATTACATTTAGGGTCCGTTTATTTAGTGGGATAATTGGTAGAAAATGTAACAAATAAAAAATTTTCAAAATTATATTCAGCACAACTCCTCAAATGGTTGGTGCCTCTCCGACCTCTATTGGACGCGGAACGTATTATATAATAATGTGGATTTGTATAAACACGCATCGAAACTTACAAGGAAACAATTATTTTTTTAAAATTAGCTTGTATTAACAGTCATTATTGTAGAAAAGAGGTATTGTTTCTTGGGTACAACCATCATTAGAGCAACAAATTAATCATCAGGTATCCAAGTCTATTTCCCCAAGAAGTTTCAAAGAAATCCAGCTAGAGAAGAGACACACACAAAGCAAAGCTCAACACACCCCATAATTCTAATATATCAATGGTTCAAAAATGTAAGTCTAAATTATGTATTTAAGTACAGAGAAAAGAGTCAAAGCAGGTAAGAACGGCCACAGCTACCCACTGTATATTATAGATGAATAAAATTATAATAATAGTAATAAATAAGAAAAAAAAAGAAACTCAAAAATCCAATATGAGCTAAACCAAACAAATTCCTATATGAACTTACTCAAAAGTTACCCTATTCTGTGTTCAGTCAGTAGCCTGTGGGGAACTTGCAAGCACCAAAATCTGCAAGACAAAATACTTGTGTTAGAACATTGATGATGACATAATAATAAGCTAGTGCTATTAATTTGGGGAAGGAATCGGATCTTACGAGGACGCTGAGGGACAACGTAGGCGGCCCCACCAAACCAACACGTTCCACCCCCACGAGCGTTCTTCTGATAATAACTATTGAACGCATATGAGGCGTGGGCCACAAGACTATTAGGATCATAACACGTGGCACCTGGCTGTATCGGACGGCAATCAGCGCCTCCTTCCCCACAAGCATAATCAAGCCCTGCCTGCAATCTCTCCTCCCCAACCTCCTCATTCGCCACACACCATGTCTGCCCCGCCGCTACATCGCCACCATCAGGCGGTAAAGGCACCTGACTCTTACTCCCATTGGCAGGAGGCGCCGACGCCGGACCACCGTTCAAAGCCTCGAGGGTCAGTGGTATATCATATACTTTCTGCTCGTTAGGGTAGAACAACCCATAGTTTCTCTCTGAAGTGGGTCCGGACTTTTGGTCCTCGTTGAAGAGAGCAAACAAATAGACGTTCAGAGTCTCGTTGGGCTTTAATGGTGTCCCACCACCGGTGAGAACTCTGCGCACCAGGTTTCCGTTATACGCAGCCGCGTTAGCTTCACCAGCACCATTCTCATTTTCGTCGCCTTTTGAAGGCCAACCCGTTTCAGAAATCACCATTTTTATATCGTTGTAGCTCAACGCGTTCATGGCAGCAAAAACGGCGTCGATTTGGGCATCGAAAAGGCTCTTGTAAACAAGCCCATTGTTGGAATCTGTAACGCCGTTGTTGTCACGAAACAAAGCGTAGTCCAATGAGATGGTGTCGGTGTTGGCTTCGTAAGCGAAGAATGGGTATGCGTTAACCATGAGAGGGGAGCCGGTTTGTCGGAGGAAGTTTAACATGGGTTTGATCACTGGTTCGATCAAGTCCGATTTGAACGAACCGGCTGATGATGGGTAAGAAGTTTGGAGTGCACTGAGAGCTATGGGGGATGAGATTTTGATCGATGACTTAACGTTGAACTTCAGAAGTGAATTATAGACGTTGTTCATGGCGGGTACGAGAAATGGGCTGGTGTTTTTTGGGTCCACGAAGACTTCATTGCCGACGGCGATGGCTTCTATGATGGTTTGGGGATGGTAAGGGACGATGTTGGATTGGACCCAATTATCGGTAAATGATTGATCGGCTGCGGCCGCAGAGAGATTCTCATTAGGGAGTGCAACGGTGACGGATATGCCTGAACCGGATAGAGCAGTAAGGACTGCCGGATCAGCATCGTAGAGCTTGACTCTGTTGATGCCGTTGGCCTTTAGGAGTTGAACCGCTTGGGATGGTGGTGGGAGGTCGTCGGCGACTCGACCGTAGTTCACTCCAATTAGGCCGGAGTCAGACCGCGCGATTCGGAAATAAGAGAGAGAAAAGATCGAGAGAAGGAAGAGGAACTGAGAAAAGGTCAGGGCCGCCATGATCTGGATCTCACAGAAGCAGAGAGAGAGATAAGCTAGAAGAGATTGAGAGAGAGTTTGCCTCTTGGTGGGGGTGTGAGTGTGTGTATTTATACGGTGTTCTTTGGAGACGTGGGAACGAGAGAGTGGAGGTGGTGGGAATTAAGGCAAAAAAGATGGAGGGAATTGGCGCCCAAAAAATAAAAGCAATGCTAAATAACGAGTGATTTACTTACCAAAACATTTTATAGACAAATTTATTAAATTAATATGAATGGTTGGATATAGGCCTGTTAAATATAATGCAAAAATTTATAAAAAAAATTTATCGAATCAGATTATAATCAAATCGGAGTTAAATATATTCAAATTTGTTAAATATAATGTATCAGATTCAGATTCGGGTTTGGATTAATGGTAAAAAAATATTAATTCATATCAGACTAATCAGATTTAAATTAAAATCTGATAAATTGACAGGCATAGTTGGATCAATGAGTTCGATAAAAAAAATAATTAATAAAACCTACTGCTTTGTTTTTGACAAAAGCATAGGATAAGTGACTGAAATAAAATAGATTTTAATTATTTTCACTGAATTTGTATGGTTGTTATCATTGTTGATGTTATATGCCAACTATCAAATAACAAAAAAACAGTTTGTTGATATAAAAAAAAAAAAGGCTAAATTGCAAAAATACACTAATGGAACACTACAAGTACAAACTCACTTACTTATTATATATTTCTTTTTTCTTTTTTTTTTATTCCAAAATGTATTCCCTGAATTGGATTGACATTATCCTTGCTAAATTATACCCTAAATTTTTTCTAGATTGAGTGATTAGATAGGATAACAAATGCATTTTATCACCAAAGATTTAGTCTAACTTGTTTGTTCATCTTCCATCAATCGTTAATTTTATTGGCTGTTTGGTTGTAGTAAAATGGGGCAGATTAGAGTCATGTTAAATTTTTTTACTCAATTAGCGACTCTCAGTGTACAGGGAGATCCCTCGGTCTGTCTTCAGCGTATAGAGCGTGCGTTTATGTCGTTCAGGCTCGTAACTCTGAATAGAACCAAGGACAAAGTTTGGGTGTATAAATCGATCCCTCAACTCATACACAATTTTCATTCAAGACTTGCGAGTCACCAAATATTTAAGACTCATACTAGAGATTTAGATACATTTCTTCAAAATAACTGAGATCTTGTCCTATCAAACAGGCATGTTGTGAGCCCAAGGGACTTCAAACCCCTGACCTCCCATTGGGAAACCAGAGGCTCTAGTCAACTGAGCTACTCCAGGTTTCATTTAGCGACTAACTCTCTCTCTCTCTAACCTCAATGAACATTATTTACATTAAAAAAGGCAACCGAGAGACAAATGAGAATTATAAGAGCTAAATTATAATGAAATATGGATAGTTATAGGTAGTTTAAGTAAAAAGAGAGGAGAAAAATTATAAGTATTTCAAATATAGACACCAAACTACTATAGTAACTTTAAATTAGGAATATTAATAGTCACTGTATGTCGAATTGGGTGATATAAAAAAAATAATGTCATTCATTCGTATATAAAAATTGACTTAGTTTATTGATTTGATTATGTGACAGTGACAAAGTCCAAAAATATTATTGTAATTGCAATTATTAGACTTATTCATTTGGACTAAATTACATGACACGCCATTATTTTTTTTGACTATAAGGTGTATAATCTTGCCCTCAGTATTCCCTTGAACTCAACTACTAGTAAGATCTAATACTATTACTCATTCGATATTGAGCGCAACAGAAGCCCAGTGACTGTGTCAAAGGTTCTGCTATTTCTGTTGTTTTTTTTCCCGGGTAAGTAGAGATTGCAGGATCAAAGAAGCTGAATCTATGAAATTCAGGTAAAGTCCAAAGACTCTTTACGTTTCTCCCTCTCCGCACATAAAGTCAGAAGTTGGTTTGTGTGGTTGCGAAATATGAGTAAAAGCCATAGCCATGTTGATTGGCTTCCTCCAATTACTTCTGGATCTTTGTTTCCAGAGAAGTGACGGGTGTCAACCCAAGCCCAAGGTAGTTCAAATGCAGGGTCGGCCCAATATAAATCGGGCTCCTAAGCAAAATTTTTAAATAAGACACTCTTAAATTTCATAAAAAAAATAAAACATGCTTTTTTCGAAAAATCATATTTTTATTTTTATTTTCTAGTCCTAACTTTTGATCCTTGTGACATGGGGCTAAGTGGCTGCTTTAGTTGCTTTAACAACACAAATTATAAATTTAAACGTTTTAAATTTAAATATTGATAATTTCTTGAGACTAAATTATAAAAAATTTATTCTTGCTGAATGTCATAGTCTCGACATAGATAATCAGTCTTTGACGGGACCACAAAAAGAATTAGTTGAGATACACGTAAATTAGTCCGAACACCATTAAACACTAAACTTAAAAAAAAGTGTCAACCAAATTTAATTATGCTCCCTCTCACCTTAGGTCTTGTTTGATGGTTGTGCTGTAGCAAGGTCTAGATTAATACTCAATTAGTCAATAAGGTAGGTAAGACACTAGAGTCAGAGACGAATTATAGTCACATACTTCCATGCCTCGTTTGGTTAAGTGCCCAAAAATACTCTAATTAAAATTTCTCTTGTTTTTTTGATGTAATGTTCAAAAAAAGATAGAATAATGTATTTGCTTTAGGTATTAGGAAAGAGAGATTTTGTATAACAATATATGCGCTCACCTTATCCCACTCATATTCATGTGTTGATACGTATTTTGGGTCCGACCTATAAATAGTCTAAAGCTCGGATGAACAGTGTATTTAATATCATAAAAACCTTCTTAAATAAATTTACCTATTTGGTAGGTTAAAACAATATGGTTGACAAGTATTTGTGTAAAATACATTTTTCAATCAAAATAAAGTGTTATATGAAATAAAGGGTAAACCTACAACTTTTTAACACTTGAATCAAATAAAAGGATTAGGGGAATGGATTTTAAATATTTTTTTTTTCTCTAGCTGAATGGATATGAGATAAATGAGTTTATCCAATCCAATCATTCTTAATACTTAAACATAACACGTGTAAAGTGGAACTGATTTCTCCTTAAAATTTGGTGGATGAGTTTGAGTTATAATACGGTTAAATGACTACTAATACTTGTGTACCATTAGTAAAATCTAAATATAATACAATTGGCATATTTTGTAATATCACATCACCTTTAAAATTAAAATTGACTTAATAATATAGTTAAAAAATGTTAAAATTATCCAGAGGGATGGGAATGGAATACTCACTATCCAAATAATATCGTCCCATTTATGATACAAGTGATTCTTGGCATCTTTCATTTGAGTGTAGGGTCGGATAAAATAATTTTTAATTAATGCCAAGCAGGAAAATTTTCATTGTGCACTTTGAATTATTCAAAAAAATTTAATATATATCCTTAAAGATCATAATTTTTATGTTATATCCTTAATATATTAAAAGAATTGTACCGTTGTCTTTCTCTTATAATATGTTTGGTACGAGGAATAGAAAATATGAGGGATCAAAAAAAAAGAAGGAACACATTTTCAATTCTTTGAGAAAGAAAAGATGTTTTCCCTCCTTCTTGTTCGGTAGGAAGGATAGAAAAGTTAAAAAAAATAAATTTTTTATTGAATTATATGTATGAGAAAAAAATTAATGTAAAAATATAATTTATTAAAGTACATAATTACCCTTGTAATTGTTATTTGAGAGACATGGAGCAACTATCACTTTCAGACCATCACTTCAAGGGGCATTAAGATAAATTCATGTATTGCCCAACTTTTCTAGCTATTTTCCGCCCAAATTTGGGCGGATTAAAAAAGGTGAGTGGAGGGATCCTTCTTTCATCTTATTTTTTTTTCCTCTCTATTTTACTTGCCAACCAAACAAAGGAAAATCACTCTTTTTCCTCTTCCTTTTTTCATCCATCCAATTTTACCTCATACCAAACAAAGGGTTACCTTAGGTTGCTGTATTCGTCAAAAATCATCATATTGACTATGACAAAATGAGTACCGAACTAATTATAATACTTTTAATAAATTAAAGATATAATATGAAAAATCTAATTCTTAAGAGTATAAAGTGAGAATTTCTTAATTTTTTAGGGTAATAAAGTATAATTAACCCTTGTATTAATGATTGAGTTAATTACACTTTAATCCCTAGATTTTGACCTTCGAAGTCAACTTCTGGTCTTTAAAAAAGTCGTGCAGAGAGAGAGAAGAATATAGAGAGCCTGTGATTTTGTTGGTTGCGTGGTTTGGAAGCAGCGATAGCAGAAAGGACTGATCGGGAGAGGGAAAGCGAATCGAATCAGTGAAAATATGTCGGGTGTTCCCAACCAAGAGGAAGACAAGAAGCCCGCCGATCAGTCGGGCCATATCAATCTCAAAGTCAAGGGCCAGGTCTCTGTTTCTCTCTGTGTACTTAGATAGGATCATTTTCCTCGGTTAACCTTAATATGATTGCTTTGTTAGGGTTTATTTTTCGTTGATGATTTTTCAACAGTTTCGGTTTATTAATTCATTACTTTTGCTTTATGTTGTTGATATTATTGCTTAGACTTTGTTCTCGTTGATTTGTTTAATTTGATTACTTACTATGTCTCTAATCAATCATTTGTGTATTGAACTTCGTTTTGATTTGATGTTATTGTATTACCGGTGGCTATATGTTAATCAGCTGGAGTAAATTCTACTCAAATGCCTTTTTGCCACTGTACTTAAGTTGCTCTTTTCCAATTTTACAAATGTCACATTGGAATAATTGAAATTAACTGGAAAATGGCTATCTAGAATTGATATTTTCGATATTTCCCTTGTACTAAATCTGGTTTAGTTGTGTTTAGGTGATCTATGGATTGTATGTAGTCTGGGGCTTAGAAGGACCTTTTTTCCCCTTGCGAAGCTTTTGAATCCAGTTGGTCAGAGACAAAGTCGAAATGGCACAATCCTTGTTTTTATTTTTTTATTGACTTTAAGGTCTGTGGATTTGAACGTAGGTTGATGAAGATGAGCATTGGGTGTGTATGGTACTAGGTGTGAATGTGCAATGTAGACCTTGTGTTGAGCGAAGTTATTTTGAAGTGTCAGGTTCCCTTTTTAATAGAAGTTTTAAGTTCTTGATTCATTGGATTCAAATGTAAATCTGGTGCTAGGACTTTTGCAATAAAGGGAAATTTTTGTTATAAAAAAATATTTTTCTAAACTGAAATGCTTGTGCTGAAGATTGGTTGACTAAGTCATACAGCCATGATTCATAATATTTATTTTGAGTAGACAATTATTGAACTCAGCTTATGCAGTTGTCTTTTATGTGGGCCGTGTGTCAAGATAATTTGCCAATTGGATGACTGTTCTCTCAATATTCATGTGGCTTAGAATGGAGTGTAGGAATAGCAGTCCTATTGCATTTGTGAAACCTTATATGAGCCTTTGTGATGCCTTAGCATGTTTTTTTTTTGGAGATTATAGCTTTGCTGCTCTTAAAGCTGTTCTTGCACATCTGCAAAAAAAAAAAAAAATCTATGCCCTCCTTTTTTCTTTCGGTCACTTGCTCAGGCTCATTTTAAGTTGGTATTAGTGCTTGTTATGTATTTAAAAACTTGTACTGTAATGAGTAGATCGGCGTTTTTATTGGTCTGTCTAATGACTTAAGTCTGTAAAAGGCAGTCAACCAGTGGTATATTACAGGGGAAAAGGTCAAGTCTGAATCCCCCCTCTCTCTCGGTTATACCTATATGCTCGCAGTATTTGGATCAATTGCTCATATAGCGTCTATGATAAATGGAAACTTTGTGTAGATTTTTGGTGTCATTGTACTCAATAATGATATTCTCGTGGATTGTATGTTGAGCTAGATTTTCCTAGTTTGTTCTATTTGTATGCTCTCAATTGGCTCTTGCTAGTCAGTTCTTTCATACCTCAACTTTTGATAGCGTGCTTGAAACATGTATGCCTAGCAATGCAGAGTTGCTGATTGAACAAAAATCTGCATGGAAGCATGTGGTGTTGGCACATGCATGTTGAGCTTCTCCAATGATAGACGAGTGGGAGAGGAAATATTGTCAATATGGTTTATACAGGCAAATAGATATTTGTTTGACATAATTTGCTTTTTGGGAATCAGACCAATTTTATTAATTCTTCTAATATTGTTATTCTTCTTGAATTTAACCGATGGATTTAGTTGTTGGTTTTGGATTCATTTTTGTATTGATGTGTGGTTATGACAGCTTCTTTGCCAATTTGCTTGGTTTAGTATAGACGTGCTTGGTTGTCTTTTTGCAGTTTGATGTTCAAATTTTGTTTGCTTGCTAATGATGGTTATACCATTTTAATGATGGGATGAATGGGTGTGTGTTACTTTCTAGTGGTTAATTTGGCCATCTTTTGTAGGATGGGAATGAGGTATTTTTCAGGATTAAGAGAAGCACGCAACTGAAGAAGCTCATGAATGCTTACTGCGATCGACAATCGGTGGATCTCAACTCTATTGCATTTTTGTTTGATGGACGCCGTCTACGTGGGGAGCAGACTCCTGATGAGGTTTCTCTCTCTCCCCCTCCCCAACACACACACTGTTTACTGTTCACATGAAAACTTGTTTTCAGGTTTCTCACTTAAAAATTTTGTCGTACAGCTGGAAATGGAGGATGGGGATGAGATTGATGCCATGCTGCACCAAACTGGAGGTGCTACTGTTTAGTTGTGGATATAAGGTTTCAGGAGACTATACGTAACTGTACTATAGGATTTCAGGCGTCTTCTTTTGAAGTCTTTTTCTTCGAGTTGTTCACTTCATATAGGTACTGTTTTGTATGGATACTGTGCTTCTTCTGGTTCAGTACTTCAATACGAGCATAGTTTGTTCCTTCGTGGCTTGCTGTATAATTTCAAGGCATCAACATTTTTTAAAATTGGCCGTCTTTACTTTGAATTTGATGGGAAGTTGGTTTTTCTATCTTCTCGTTATATTATGTGGGATTAAGCATTTTAACCCCCTCTCTGTTTGATTACGGTTACCAATGGTTGGTTCATTCCATATGTAGCAAACTTCTTGTAATCGAGCCCAAAAACGTTACCACACGACATCGGCATGTCGCTAGTAAGCAGTTTTGTCAAACACGAGGGTGAGGTTGTCTATTACTTATTTTTATGCCATAACTCCATGGATAGTTTAAATGGTAATAGGGAGGGGGTAATTATTCTAAGAATAGCTCACATAGTAATAGAGATGAGTAGTAAATTCAGACATTTTGAGTTCGAATGTTGACAACTTTTTAAGGTTAGGCCATGAGAAATGAGATTTATTCTTTATGAATATCTTAGTTCTGACATAGATGGTCTGTCTTTAATTGGGATCGGGGAGAAAATTAATAGAAGTGCGCATAAATTAATTCTAACGAGTAAATATTAAATGTAACGGTGATACCATGTCACAATTGATGACATAGTATCACCAACTAATAAATAAAACATCAAATGGACAAGGTAAACTTACTTGGGCTTATAAAGAATTGGAGTGAAAAGTTATTTACTTACATAACAGGTTAGTTATTTAGTTTTGTAGGATCTATTTGTTTATTTGTTTTAATATTATTAGTTAGTGATACCACATTACCTTGTTATGTGATATCACCATTGTAATGAATATTTTCTCGATTCTAACACCCCTAATTGTTGAACCCAAAAAGAAAAAAGGCAGAGGGCAATAGGGGTCCGTGGTGGTTATATCATACAAATAAGGAGAATTAATGCTTTTCTGTTTTGGACCATAGAGGAGTAAATGTTGATATTACATCTTTAAGGAAACTTGTGCAAACTCTCGTAGCACCATAACCACAATTCTCTTACTTGTATTATAGGCCCATTTAATAGGATAAACGAAGTAATTTGCCAGTGCACAACAGACAAATGACATTTCTTTAGCCAGCTCTATCTCACCATATTGTAATTTCATTACGGAACATTCTAGTGATTCCATTAAAACCATTGCAAGCTCTATTTTCAAGGAACTCTTTTATATGTCCAATGATAGATCTAATCTATGTTGAGAGAGAGAGAGAGAAAGAGAATCGTGTTATACAACTGGTAAAACTCTGATCTGTAGTATCTGTATATGGACAGTTCATTAGTCACCCGAACTTACCCATTTGCTCCGAAAAAGGTATTATTAATGAGCTGGAAATGAGAATACACTGGCAACAATCTCAGACATTTAAACTGTATTATTGAATTCGAATATGGTATAATTTCACTATTTTCTACCATTTACGTTAAAAAAAAGGAGTACTGATGAAACGTGACCTAAACCAACGAGTTTGATCCTACGGGTTCTATTAGAGTCATGCAAAGAAACGTTCAACTCACGAGCTTTGCGCTTATATATAAGAGGGGGAGAGATTGGGAGAATGGGAGAGAGAGCAATGGAGAAAAAGAAGCATTGCAGAGTTTTCAAACTTCCCAAACTTGTTCAACTTTGTACTGCTCTCATCTCCATCTTTGCCATCCTACCTCTCTCTCAATCTTTCAATTATGGAGAAGCCCTCTCCAAGAGTCTCCTCTACTTCGAATCCCAGCGTTCTGGCCGCTTACCTCACAACCAAAGACTCACCTGGCGACAGCATTCCGGCCTCACCGATGGCTTAGAACAAGGAGTAAGTCCTCTTTTCCATCACCATGATTTTGTTTTTCAAATAATCGTCTCAACCATACATCTTTTAGATGCACCTAATCATATACTAATCACTTGCGTCGTTTTAACCCGAGTCCTATAAAAGACTAAAACTTAAGCGTGTGAATTTATGTCTCGCTCTTGAACTAACCCTTTGGGTGTTTTTACCACCTTAATTGCTTAAACGTCTCTCTCTCTCTTGGTTTAGATGTCTGAAAAAATCAATCAGACAGTCTTTGTTAATTGATGTTTCCTCCGAGCAGGTGGACTTGGTGGGAGGGTATTATGATGCCGGCGACAATGTTAAATTTGGTCTGCCAATGGCCTTTACCGTTACGATGCTCTCATGGGGTGTCATCGAGTACGGCGACCAGATTGCTGCAGCCGGCGAGTATTACCACGCGCTTGAAGCAATCAAATGGGGGACTGACTATTTCATCAAAGCACATACTCACCCTAATGTTCTATGGGCTCAGGTAATTTTCTATCGTGTCCACAAAAAAGAGTGCGCATAAAACTAAAAATTTAGCCTACTCGCATCCAAGGGAGTGTGGAAATTCCTCCGATCCCCACTCTACTGTTGCATCTTAAGATTGCATGTTCGGATTTCGTAATAATGTTTGACAAAGAAAAAACCTTTTAATGACCTAAAATGAGCAAGTCCCACTTGCACTAACGAGTGGAATGACAAATCTACAAGTTTTGTGAATTGATATACAAGTAACAACTGACGAGTGAAATAAAAAATCTATAAGTTTTGTGAATTGATATACAAGTAACATAATTATAGATTTCATATATGACAAAAACATTTAGAATCAATTGTTAGGTTTGATATCAGTTTTTTTTTTTTTTTTTGAGGTTATGCTACAATTTTTAGGGTTAAATTATAACTTTTTGGGTCATTAGGATATAGTAAAATTTCAAAAAATTATAAATTAACCCAAAAAACTTGTAAATGGTGGTACAATACTATATATATTTTTTTGATACCACAGACTTGTCTACATTAACGACCCATGGAAAAACATAAATTGAGGATTGGAGGTATAATGTTTTTTTCAGGTGGGTGAAGGTGACACTGATCACTACTGTTGGCAACGGCCGGAGGACATGACGACATCGCGACGAGCTTACAAGATCGACGAGAACCACCCCGGCTCGGAGCTTGCCGGAGAGACTGCGGCGGCAATGGCTGCAGCATCAATGGTCTTTAGGAGAACAAACCCACATTATTCTCACCTTCTTTTGCACCATGCGCAACAAGTAAGTTATTTTATGAGGTTGTTGGACTAATACTATAGGACTTGGCCAAGTATTATAATGGAATTGCTAAGTAGTGGTTCCAACTTCCTACGTTTAGAGGAAGTGTATAAGCAATCACATACACTGACTTTTTATTATATTTAGATTAATACCTTTTTTTTCGTACTCCTTGAACTAATCCGTCATTGTTTTCGCACATTAAGTTTAAGAATAAGTTCATTTAGTAATATGATTGATAGTCATTCAGGAAAGACTTTTAAGTGCGTCTGCTTAGACTATGTCATGTATGAATGATCTTTTCTATTTTATAGGAGATGCTGGTCCTTTATTTATAGTTCTTGTGTTAATTGGTCCGAAATTAGGTATAGTCATGTTTCTACGACCTTAATCTGTATTTATTTGAATAATATTACAAATCTCCATCAAAGTAGTTATTTATGTATTTATAATTGTACAAAAGCAGGGAGCAAATAATCATCCATAAAGTACACATATTAGATTAATAAATGCGACTCTTATGAAGGCCAAACTTAAAATATTGAGAAACTAAAGGTCTTATTTGGTTTGTATCTCACAAATTGTTTTTCTATTTTCGGAAATAGTTTTTGAGATAAAAGTTATTTGACCAAAATTTTTTTGTTTTTATTTTTTAAAAAATTGAGAACGAAAACAAGTTAATTTTGTTTTGTGTATTTTTAAAAGCAACATTTATAGAATTTAGAAAATACCATTACCACTATTACCACAACATTTCTGTTTTCATTATTTTTTAGGTTATCGTCTAAATAAGTTTTTATTGTTTTCTATTCCGTAGAACTGTTTTTGAAATCATATGACCAAATAAGTTCTGTGACACAAAAAATATCAAAACATATTTTTCTAAAATTCTTTTCAAAAATAATTTTCAGATATTATTTTTTAAGATTCAAGTCAAATATGGTCTAACTCTTCAAATTTATTTATTTGAAATACCTTGACGGGTTTATTTTGATTTGCAGCTCTTTGAATTTGGTGACAAATTTAGAGGGAAGTATGACAGTAGTGTAGGGGTGGCAAAGGGCTATTATCCATCACAAAGTGGTTATAAAGATGAGTTGTTGTGGGCTGCTCTGTGGCTCTATAAGGCCACTCACAAAGTTGTTTATTTGAAATATGCAATAGACATGGCTCACTCTTTTGGTGGGATCACTTGGGCCATGGCAGAGTTCAGCTGGGATGTTAAGTATGCTGGTGTTCAAATCATTGCCTCCATGGTAAGCCTTCCTATCCTTTCCAAATTTGCTATAATTTTTTTTTTCTTCCATTTTTTATGAATGAATTCATGATGTTTTGTATTGGACAATTATTATTTACTTTTTTTGGGTAACAGGAAAAATCCTAGTCTATTCCCGACAAATAAAAGCGTACTTTTATTACTTAAACTCATGAATCCGAGTAAAACTGACGATGAACTCTAGGTGTATGACACAATTATTATTCTCCAATCTATATATATAGTTGGTCATTTTGCCAAAGTTAAACTTGTTTGAATGGAGACCCATTTTTATACATTGAGTCACTTATATTCACATTAGTGATTTATCATTGAAAATGTTTAAGGGAAAAGCTTATTGAATCGAATCTGAACCCATTATATGTCTCCACAAATGGTTACTTTTATAGGTTCCTCTTTTGGCTTTTTCCTCATATCTCTCCCTTTTCCTCTTTTTATTCCCTCATATAAGGACATTTATGTATCACAACAAGAAAGTAGTTCAAGCTTGTCATAAAAATCTCATGTATTCAAGAGTAGAAAGCTATGATTGCCTTAGTTAACGTTTATTTGACAATTTTTTTTTCATTTTGAAGAACTTGATTGCTAAATTTAAATTCTACGCGTATCATTGAATGGATTGACACTTGACATCGCTTTAAATCAGAATTCTTGTAATTTAGAGCATGAATATATTTTCTTTCCTCTCAATCGAAAATGGTTTCTCTTCTTCTATTTGTTGAATTGAACGGTCATGGATGTTTAACTTAGTTTACGTGTACCTTGATTCCGGTTCAACGGTCATGGATGTCTACATTAATGTACGCGTACCTCAACTAATCTCCTCCTCAGTCCCAACTCGGTCAGAGACAGATAAATGATTTACGTCAGAACTAGACAATTCATGAAGAATAAATTTTTTATGACATGATCTCAAAAAATTAATAAGATTCAAACTTAAAATACTAATTTATTTTTGTTATTACTGTTGGGATTGTTTCCCTTTTTTCAGTTACTCACTTTGTTTTGCTTCTTTTTTTTTCGTAGTTGCCGATGGAAGAGAAGCACAAAGAACACATCAAAACTCTCCTACAATACCGTTCAAAGGCAGAACACTACATCTGTGCTTCCCTTAATAAAAACAACTTGACCAATGTGCATCGCACCCCAGGAGGCCTCCTGTACGTCCGCCAATGGAACAACATGCAGTACGTATCAACGGCTGCATTTCTTCTCACAATCTACGCTGATCATCTCCAAACCTCCAATCAACGGCTCAATTGCAATGGAGAATTAGTGACCCCCAATGAAATCTTCTCTTTCGTTAGATCACAGGTTGACTACATCTTGGGCTCTAATCCAATGGCCATGAGCTACTTAGTTGGTTATGGTCCAAATTACCCAGAAAGAGTGCACCACAGAGGCGCATCAGAGGAATCCTACAGAGAGAGCAAGGGTTTTATTGGGTGCACACAGGGGTATGATAAGTGGTATGGACGCCAAGATCCAAACCCCAACGTTCTAGTGGGGGCACTGGTTGGTGGGCCAGATAGCAAGGACCGTTTCAGAGACAGAAGGAGTAATTATAGGCAAACAGAAGCTTGCACTTATAACACGGCGCCCCTAGTTGGGATTTTTGCTAAACTTCATGGATTAGAAAGAGAGGGATTCACTGCTAATCCATCACTAGTTTCATCTAGCTAGGTCTGTTAATAGCATTTTTATGTGTGGAGAGAGAAAAACAACACAGAGTAAGAAATGTTCCACGTACAAATGAGACCCTGAAAGCTTATTAATCTACATATTATTTCTTTGGCTTTTGGCCCTAAACCAAGGATTAAAGTTAGGAGTCTCGACCGTGTCGTATTATTTTCGGTACATATTATATTCGTGTCAATAAAAAAATATTTAATTTTATAGCAGTTCATATAATTATTATTATTTATTTTTTTGCTCAAAAACTCATATAATTATGAGTGTTAAAATATGACACAATTTGTTAACAAGTGGATCTGACACGACACGATTAATATATGAATTAGGTAAGAGTGAAGTCAATAAAAAAAAAGTACACGACATAACTCGTCTATATACTAGTTATGCATGGTTCATATACGAAACAAACTCGATACGGCACGATTCATTAGACACATTAATAAATGAATCGGGTATGTGTGGAGTGTTTTTTTACTTGAATCCGTTAAGACTCGACACGAACTCGACATGATTTTCAGGCCTACATATAATACTATTTAAAAAATTTATAAAATAATCATTTTCTGTCTAGAATACTCATTTAAATACCTACTTTTTATCTACGGTGCTTGTTAATTGTGTTATTTATATCAAATTTTAATTTGACCCACTTATTTTATGCGTCAATTAATCGGGTCGTTTTTAAACTTTGTATCAAGTCGGGTTCGAGTTTGTGTGTAAAATTGACACCCCTAATTAAAGTGGTATTATTTAGAAATTAATAATGCCATGTAATTTTAGGGTTAATTAAGAAAAAAAAAACAATTGCAATCAGGGTTTGGTGAATCCTTTGAAGTTCAAATTAAGTTTCAAAGGTTAAAAATTCTGTATAACATAACTGCACGGTATTGACTAAGATTTAACATATTCAATACCAACTCCGGAATGACCAAAAAAAATACCAACTCCGAGACTGAGTAAGAATGGTCCCTCTGTGTAACATTTTCCTTGTGTTAAACTCGAAATGATGAGAAAAAATGCTTCGAAGGGCAGTGAACAATAGGTTCGGGCTAATGGATGGCAAAGTGAATCCATGGGTAATGTCATAGATTAATGGACAGGGCCTGGCCATTGACGTTTTACCCATTGGACCAGACGGATTGGCTAACTGAAAGCCCACGAAGACAGTTTGCCGAGGATACTCTCAATACGACCCCTCAGCCAAAGTAAAATATAAAAGAAGTTGTACAAATAAAATTGGCAGAAAAAAAAAAAAAAAAAATAAAAATGGACACATTAGCCAAAGAAATTGAAAAGAGAAATTATTAAAAAAAAAAAATAATGTTACATAAACTTAAAAATTATATTTGATAAACACAATTATTGAATAGATAATAGATCTTAATAAATACTAGGACCCACAAAAAAAATAATAGTTTTGATTATTAAATTTAATTTTATGTAATATTGCTCAAAAACAACTAAAAAAGCACACCACGAGAACGTAAGCCCCGTTTGGTTAATCCTATGAAAGGACCAAGTGAATTACTGTCACAAATCAGCCAATAAACTTCGGCCCGGAGACCAAAGGCTCCACGCATGTCTCAGCCCGTCGGGCCTCCATGGCTCGAAGGTAACCCGTTTCCGGGTCCGTATCTCTACGGACAGTGGCTCGGGGACTTTCCTGGGTTTGATGACATAATCACAACCCACTCACTTCGTTTTGTGGTTAAGTAAGCCACGCTCTTGGCCCTTTATTTTATATAGTGCGCCTATCTTAGCTTCTAAAACCGATGTGGGATTAAATGTTGCTATACGTATTTAAAAATTATGCCAATTTTATAATTATTCGTGTCGAGTTCGTATTAAAGGGTCAGAGCTGACACCCCTAGTATTAATTCATTCTCATATTCTTGAATCAATTGAAGTGGAATAATGAATCAATTTCTTCGACTCTTGGTCAATAAATCAGAATTTTTGGAGAAGAATGGTTATGCGGGAGATTAAATTGATTATAAGAACATGAATTTAATTAATCGATTTATTAGTGTACAAGGAGGAATATTATTTAGATGAGGGAATAGATTGACATTAAAAGAACAACGAAGAATTATTATTATTATAAAACAAGCTCGTATATTATCTTTGTTATGGTACTTATATCGTGCATAATCGTTCTTTTATTGTATTAGTAAATTACAACTCAACTCGTTTAATTATTTGTCAGATATTTTAACATTAATTCGATGAATTTATTATCGTGTGTTGTGTTGTGTTAGAATTGATTCGTATAACCCTGAATCAGAAAAATCTAAAATTAAGTTTTCATTGTCAACTGCAAAATCCGCCACAGTTGGCCACCACAACCATTGACAACCACTCCGGGCAACCTTCCGTGAGGAACTTTTGGTGAAGACCTACTGCGTGTTTTCTCTATTCATACATGTATTTATTTGGGTTTGTAGTGTATATCTGTTTGTTCTTTTGTGCATAGTTTTAGATTTCATTAAGATACAATTGATTTGGGTCGTGGTAGTTCCAGAAATATAATGTTTTATTTGGAATTTTTTGGGTTTTAAGTGACAATTAGACATAGTGGGAGTGGCTGTGAGTTAGGAGTGATTGGTTGAAGTGCAGAACAACTTTTCTCTTGTATTGGCTAGAGATGAGAAGAACATATATTTGTTATTACAATCAAATACATAAAACTCTACACAGACTCGTAGAGTTCTATAAACTGGTCACTTCCTTGGTAAATTTGTACTGAATACTTGCATGTGTACCATAAATGGAAAATTCAACTTTGCACTTGTATGTGTTTATGTGTTGGTTTCGACAAATGTGACTAAGCTTTTCAGTTGAACTCCACATATTTGATGAAATGTCCCAAAAATTGGAGCCTGAGACCTTTCCTTAGTTGAGGAACTGATTTTTGTGTTATGGTATATTCATTTTTACCCATATTGTAATATTATTGCAGGCTATTTGATTAACTTTGCAATATGATCTTGGTAAATAGCAGCACTTGTTATGTAGAAATTTTGTTTCATTGGCATTTCACCTGTCTTTTTCATGGTCTAATTAGATGGTTCATGTATAGGAATAGGAATTTACTTGCAAAGTTTAATTTTTGATTAATTGCAGAAACTTACTAGGAAATGTAGAAAGGAATACAGCCCCAGATGCAGTGGGTATCTTAAGTGACCCAGAGTGGCCGCTTGATGCATGTAATGATGACAAAAATACACCCAGTGGGAAAAGTTTATTACTTTAGAGCGAAGCGCCAGATGGCTCAAAGTATTGGACAGATTGACAAGTTCAAGCGTCGGTATGAGCAGCACAAGGACGAGGAGAATAATGAAGAAACGTGAACTTTCCATGATTCAAGGAGTATGGTAAGATATGAATTACTCTGAAGTTCCTTCTGCATCTCTGTTTCAGGGTTTAGCAGTGAATTGTCTTCATATTATTGGATTTCTTAGTATCTGTTTGACAACCTGCCTGATTGTGCTTTAAAGCTCATTTGTTTGTCTTCTTGTTGGTTGCCTGGAACTTTTGAATTATGTTCATCTTGATGAATATTGCTGGCTGTTGAATAGTGATTATGCATAGTGCTTTGCATTCTTCATGGTTATCACTTGGTTTCGCGGGATACTATTTCTACCTGTTCTACATGTTCTCATGAAAACTACGGTACCTTTGAGCATTGCATGAAAGATAGAATTGATCATGGGACACAAGCCATAACAACCTTGACAAACTCAGGTGAAACAAGTTGTTAGGTTAGAGAGAAGCTCATGGGACACAAGCCAACCAAGGTAGGCACTTAGTACCGTACCAATTTACACATGCCAACCAAGGTATGGCAAGGGTGCCAGTCATCACTTAGAGTCACTAATATTTTAAATCCTATTTGTCTTCCCTCAAATTTTTACTAATTATGTTTTGACCAATGTTATATGAATCGTGGGTCGCTTTGGTATGGAGTACGGGTACGGGTATATGGTACGACACTTTCTTAGATATGCAATACGACGGGGTAGGCTTAGATAATACTCTCTTCGTTCCTACATATCTGTCGTTTTACACAATTTTTTTTTGTTCCATAATATCTGTCGGTNCTAATATTTTAAATCCTATTTGTCTTCCCTCAAATTTTTACTAATTATGTTTTGACCAATGTTATATGAATCGTGGGTCGCTTTGGTATGGAGTACGGGTACGGGTATATGGTACTACACTTTCTTAGATATGCAATACGACGGGGTAGGCTTAGATAATACTCTCTTCGTTCTTACATATCTGTCGCTTTACACAATTTTTTTTTGTTCCATAATATATGTCGGTTAATGAAACTAAAATATAATTAATATTTTTTCTTCCAAATTTACCCTTAACTTTTCAATGCATTAAATTTTATGGAGACTAAGTGTCTTTTATATTCCTTTCCTTCCTAATACGTATTGAATAAGGGTATTTTAGTCTTGTGTAATTATTTTTTACTCATATTAGAGTTATTTAATAGTTTTCTTAATCTGTGTACAAAAACTTTAAGCGACAGATATTTAAGAACGTAGGGAGTACGATATTTTGGATCGCAATTTGTTTAGAACTTTTATGTAGATCATTTTCACTACATAACAATATTATATATTNCTTTCCTTCCTAATACGTATTGAATAAGGGTATTTTAGTCTTGTGTAATTATTTTTTACTCATATTAGAGTTATTTAATAGTTTTCTTAATCTGTGTACAAAAACTTTAAGCGACAGATATTTAAGAACGTAGGGAGTACGATATTTTGGATCGCAATTTGTTTAGAACTCTTATGTAGATCATTTTCACTACTATACAATAGTATATACTNGTTTTCTTAATCTGTGTACAAAAACTTTAAGCGACAGATATTTAAGAACGTAGGGAGTACGATATTTTGGATCGCAATTTGTTTAGAACTTTTATGTAGATCATTTTCACTACATAACAATATTATATATTACAAAACATCTATAAATACTAAGTCAGTTACTATTTATCTTATAGTTGTACTTGATTTTTTATTAATTAAAAAAATATATAATTGTGAATCTATATACATGTAGTCAATTAATATATATTTTATATTTGTGCTATATGTTTTAAAGGGAATTGATTTAGGGTTAGAATTACAATTTGGGATCATTCATTTTGGTGATCTAGATCGTAAACACACTCCATTTGGGATCGATGTTCCCAAATCGTGGGTTGTCAATGGTTGAGTGAATTGTGGTAACCATAGTTTTGACCAGAAACAAAATTCGTTATTTTTACTCATCATGATTGAATAACTAAAAGTACCTGTNTCCCAAATCGTGGGTTGTCAATGGTTGAGTGAATTGTGGTAACCATAGTTTTGACCCGAAACAAAATTCGTTATTTTTACTCATCATGATTGAATAACTAAAAGTACCTTTTTTTTTTTCAATCTTACTCTTATTAGCAACTTAATTTTAGTTTCTGCTGGGGCAGGATGTCACAAAAAACAGCGACATGTCAATGTGTAAGTTTATTGGAGGTAGAGGGCTAGGGATTGGAGGTCAACTGTCTGTAGTTGGAGGTGGAGCCCGTGGAGGCTTTGTTCGTGCACAAAGGATGTAGCAGAGAATATGATTAAGGAAGAGGAGATGTGAAGTGGTTGCTGTTGGTCTTACAAAAGGATAGGAAGCTTATGCATGTTAGAGTTGTTTAATAAAAGGATGAACGGTTTTTGGATGCACAATAGCCTTTTCCAATTAAGAACTAATAGTGGCCATTGGATTAATCAACTGTTCGTCTTATGCGTTCGTTAGGGGTACAAACCAGATAAGGGGTGTTAGTATCATTTTAAAAACAAGAAGATTAACTCTTGGAATGTTGATAAACTAAAGGGAGTGTTGGTGTAATTTACCAAAAAATACAGTTGCTCTATACTTAATAGATGCTATTAAGTTGAGTCCCACACCTCAAAAAGAGGAGAGAAACAAAGAAAGAGACTAATGGATTCCATAGCCTTTTTGCTGGTACTATCTTTTGTGTTGACGTGCATTCATATCCTGACCATCTACAATTCATGCCGGCGGAATTCCGGCAAAGCTAGACTGCCTCCTGGCCCCTACCCTTTTCCAATCATTGGTAACATCTTCGAACTTGGCCACAAACCCCACCAATCACTTGCCAACCACGCGAAAATCCATGGTCCTTTGATGTCTCTTAAACTGGGGAGCATAACAACAATGGTCGTATCATCACCCCAAATGGCAAAACAAGTGTTACAACAACACGATCAGGCCTTCTCCTGCCGAACTGTTACGGATGCTCTACACGCACTTGACCATCACAAGGTTTCTATGCCATTGTTGCCGGCAAATAGTGCATGGCGCAATCTTCGGAAGATAAGCAAAGAGCAATTTTTTTCAATGCAACGCCTTCACGCCGGTCAAGGCCTTCGCCGGAAAAAGTTGTAGGAACTACTTGACTACGTGCATGAATGTTGCATTAATGGCCAACCTGTGGATATTGGTCGAGCTGGCTTTACAACCATGTTCTTTTCTCAGTAGACTTGGCTCATCGCGATTCTAATTCATCCCAAGAGTTCAAAGATTTAGTATGGGTTGTGATGGAACACATTGGGAAGCCTAATCTTGCTGATTTCTTCGCAGTACTTGAGTTGATCAATCCACAGGGCATACGACAACAAACAAAACTTTATTTTGAGATGTCTGTGATTTTTGATGGTATCATCAGTCAACGATTAAAAGCGAGTGCTTCATCTGCGACTTCTTTGATAAACAATGATGTATTGGATGCCCTCCTGAATCTAAGCAAGAAGAATGATGCTGAGTTTAGCTACAATGACATGAAACATCTGCTTCTGGTAAGAACCTATATGTGCAACTCTATTTTTCATTCCATTGTGTTCAATTTTCATGATATGCTTGGAGACTGATCCAATCTGTTAGTACCACTTTTTTATGCGAGGAAATGACATTTATATGATCAACATCACATGGCCTTTTGATGACAGATGCAAAGTTGTTAGAAAGACCTACAAAAGTCATAAGAATGATGTAGTAAGAGTGCTACACTACGATTAGAGAATCGCAGAATTGAGTTCTCTTCATGTGTTGTGATAATATACACGCAAATGNAGTTGTTAGAAAGACCTACAAAAGTCATAAGAATGATGTAGTAAGAGTGCTACACTGCGATTAGAGAATCGCGGAATTGAGTTCTCTTCATGTGTTGTGATAATATACACGCAAATGCATAAAACTCGATTCAACTTTAAACAACTTAAAAACATGTCAATATCAGATAAAGCCGTATCCTCTCAATGCTTTAACTTTCCTTTTTTGTAGTTTTTCTTCTACTGTATTTGAAGTAGTCTCTATCCAATTAACTTAAGGAAGAATGTCTTTCTGCAATAAAATCATCAATCCAACAGAAGCTGACTTCAGAAACAAAATAGTTAGAAGTCTTTAAGGTGAAATTTCTTGTGCATTACGGTTAAATGTTTTCTAATACAACCTGCGTTTAGCTTTTGTATCATGACATATTATATACGAAAGCGTACTAGTTAGACCCTAATTCATATTTACCCGAAAAAGAGACTCAAATTCTTCATTATTTTCATAGTGTTATGAAGATCTAATCTCACATTATATACTTTATCAGGACTTATTTTTGGCAGGGACTGATACAACCCCAAACACGGTGGAATGGGCACTGGCGGAGTTACTACGCAACACTAATAAAATGGCTAAAGCTCGAAATGAGCTGCAGGAAGTCATTGGCAAGGAGGGACCAGTTCAAGAATAAGACATCTCAAGGTTCCCTTACTTACAAGCGATAGTAAAAGAAATATTTCGGTTGCACCCACCAGGCTCATTTCTAGTNAGCTGCAGGAAGTCATTGGCAAGGAGGGACCAGTTCAAGAATAAGACATCTCAAGGCTCCCTTACTTACAAGCGATAGTAAAAGAAATATTTCGGTTGCACCCACCAGGCCCATTTCTATTCCCTCACAAAGCTGCTGATGTAGAAATCAATGGCTACATAGTGCCCAAGAATGCACATATACTAGTTAATGTATGGGCTACTGGCAGAGATTCAAGCATGCAGAGAGGCTAAGATAAGGTGCACCATCCGGTGCACCAATGGCAATCCTGGGCCTAGAAGATTGGATGAAGCCAGAAGATATAGACATGAGTGAGAAGTTTGGGCTTACATTACAGAAAGCTGTGCCTCTGAAGGCTAATCCCATAAAAGTGTGACCACTCCTGCACAATAGATTATATAAACTGTCACTGCTTTCTGGAAATTGACAATGTCCCATCAATTGATGTACTAGCAATAAACACGTGCTATGCACGTATTACCCATGCATACTCTGTTACGTTTTACATTGAATAAAAACATTATATCGGGAATAATAGCGAACTACGAATCCAGTAAGAATAATCCAACTTTGTTTCCCTATCTAAAATAACGAACGAACCTTGTTCAACAGCCATGCATCAAACAGATCCTTTTGTTGGAATCATAAGCCAATTGAACGACAGTTAAAAGAACAGACTGAGAATTTTAAGTCTAAATCACACATCCAGTCATTAGCTCCTCAGAGCATACACAACAGGATATTTCATAAAGGCTCCACAACACACATGCAAATAGGGTATCAGAGTCGATATGGAGAAATATAGACAAGTTACAACAACAAAGCAAACCTAGTTTGCTTTATTCAGGCATATCTCACATACAAATCTACACATACTACAGCACTATACTTGATTAATTATCCATACACAGACCATAGATCTGTTCTTCAAAGCCCAGTCCTTCAGTGCAGAACTACGCATTCTTGCTTCCCGGGCACCACAGCAGAGTGGGAGCTTTTGTTAAGGGCATCTACTTCTTCAAGAGATTGAGGTGCCACATCTGGCTCCTCGAGCAAGCTCTGTTTAACACCTCCATTTCCATCAGCGCCACAGAGGATAGCTTCAAAGATGAGCGCTTTCACTTCTTGGAACTGCTCTTCGGAGAGGGACACCTCAGCAAGAAGCCTCCAAGCATTTTGCTCAGAAGCCTCGTGATAATCCTCCTTCCTTTTTAATACCATATGTCCACTAATTTCCCAAACAGCAGGGTTCACTTGGGTGTCCAGAAGCTCTGTATTCACTTCTCCAAGAGCCTGTTTCTCCGCATAACACTGTTTGTATATTCATACATAAAGATCTTAGATAATTGATCCAGACAAAAGAGACGTGACTAACATCTTATAAGAACCTAGAAGAATGAATAGAATCCCGCAAATCAACATGGCCTTTGGATATTCTTACCTGCGGGAAGAGAAAGATCCGTTTCCCAGAATCGGAGATAAGGACATTGTAAGGTATGTTATTGTTTTGGAGGCAAATGCAGGAGTCTGAGACGGCATTGGACAAATCTTCCAAAGTGTGCCCACCCTCAAAAACCAGACCTCTGACTGGATAATTCTGAATCTCAGAGATTTTCACCCTTCCATTCAAAGTGGTGAACTTCCTAGTGGGAGCCTTCTCAATGGGGAAGGGCACGGCCAAGTAATAAGCCTGTTGCCACCAAAATAACAATATCGTTAGCAAATAATGTAATAAGTTTATGGAATACGAAAGTGGAGAGCATAAAAACCTGGAAGTGAAGGTGGTTGATGGTAGCAAATGCACCCAAGCTGTTGTAACCCAACCGGAAGTATGGGCTCCCTGCTTCTGCTGCCATGTGAAGTGCAAGCAAGAAGCTGTCATGGTCAATCCTCTGAGGCAAACACTTGAGAATCCGAGGGATCAAAAGCACATGCCCATATTCAATAGGGCTAACCTGTAAGATTATACGAAATAAAGAACCATATAACTACAAATTTCTTCTAGGTAGAAGCTCTTAGATGCAGACAGGTACTAGTACATACGTTGATGGCAACAACACTGGGGGAATTCTCAGTATCAATTGGAGCATTTGGGAAGAATTGGACCTCATCATCCTCGCTTGGTTCAAACTGGAAGAGCACTTCTTCCTGCCCAACTTTGGTGAAGTTGAATTTGTTGCCATCAAATGGCTGCAGGACTTTATCAACTTGAAACTCAGTTGGCCTCTTCTTAAGGTGACGACCCTCATTCAGCTGTGCAATGAAACCATACTCTCCAGGTATCACCTACACCACCATAATCAGATAATTCAGTTGGAATCTATATCACAAAACTTGGTCTAAATATCCTATTTTTACAAGTATGAGACAGTATTGCAAGGCTAGACCTTGGTTTCACATGCAGTGACATCATAGCGAAAGAGCCCCCTCTGCACGCGATCCTCCCACTGCCATCAGGTGGTAAAAAATTTTATTCCCTGTGATGGATTGTAAATACAAGAGCTGCTCATGACTTAAAAACAAATTGTTACCTCCCCAAGGAGGAGTGAGTCCAAGAAGGCAACGGGAGGCTCTTTTTTCTCATAGTCAAGCAAACCCTTTTCGTTGATATTCTTGTTCAACCTCTTAAAAGCATACAAAGGTAGCTTTGCTCCTAATTAAACCCAAATTTAATGAGAATCGGAAAATAAAGGGCATATCAACATAAAAAGCAGAGGATTGACCCAACTCCGCTCATTCAAACATATGAACAAATACCTGGAAGGCAACAGTTCCTGAGACAATTGCGACCGCACCCACCTCCTTGGCGAGCACCTTCCTCCGCCTCTTCCTTTTGGTAATTGGAGACAATAGTTGGAACCCTCTTAATACTCAACATCATGATTTTTAACCAATTAACAAACACAAGCCCTCGAGAGAAACAGATACAACACGCAGATCTTGATAGTTTATACTGCTATATATGTAATAGTTTAGCTAATATAAGACCTAACAACCTAATGGGAGGAAAAAGAGAAACCACCGCCGGCAAGGAAGAGGAGGTCAGAAGGGCTACCGCCTTCGGACGGCAAAGCGCCACGTCCGCCGTGCGGCGAAGGGTTGCTCTCGCTCACACAATCCTTGCGTCGGACTGCTCGGACATGAACGAGCGGCCGAGTTACTCCGTGTATAGCCGTGATGTCTGCAACTTGTCAAACACTGGGTTCTACCCCCACCACTCTCAAAACCACAAATTCTAATTGCCCCCCACTGAAATCCAGATCTCTCTTCAGCTACAAGCAAAGCAAAAATCTATTTATGAAGAAGAACTTCTTCCCATGGAGGAGGATCGTGAGGAAATGAGAGGTAGAGAAAGGGGTTTATATATAGATAAGAGGGTGGTTTGTGTTGAACACACTGATGAATTGTGGTGCTGGTTGTGCCGTGCTGGGGTACTCTTGGCCTTGGGTGAGTTGCCTTGGGGACACTGTATATAGAAACAATTTGGGGGTTATGCTTGGGGAACATTAAAACTTGCGTGCTCCTCTCCATGGATAAATATTTGGTCTAAGTAGGCCTGACAATTGTGTCGAATGAAAAGGTTTTGTGTTGGATGAAATAGGTTTGTGTAAAAAATTTTTCTATCCATACCTTATTCGTTTATATAAACGAGTTCAACTATTACACCTATATATGAATCATTTATTAGATGAATTACCCGATATAACCCGTGTGTCACCCACTAAATAAGAGAATAGGTTAGATAATATCGAGTCTCATGAAAAATTATTAACTCGTCACACATTACACATGTTTGACATATTTACTAAAACAATAAATCATGCTTTAACAAAAAAATAAATACAAAAATTAAACATTAAATGACTACTAAATTTGAAAAATTCTGAAAGATAGGAGGTGTGAGATGAGGCATAGGCTAAGAGATCTAACTTGTTTTTTAAAAATTTATTGTACCACTCTTAACGGGTTGAATGAGTTTATGGGTTAAACACGAAATCGATTCGTTTATTTTACAGGTCTGTCGAGTTAATCCGTTAACTATCCGAACCCATTAAAACTACACTCAAACCCATTAAATCCGTATCGAGTTCTTGTCGATTTTACGAGTCATGTCTAGAATTATCAACCCTAGTTCTAAGGGTTAAACTGTGTTACTATTATCACGTGTATTCGGTGAATATAAAAATAATTTAAGAGAGAGGGCAAAATTAGGTGTAGCACGTTCTTTTTTAGAATATATAGACTATTACTGTATGACACACATATCATGAAAAACTTTTCGAAGTGTAAATAATTGTGTTATCATTATCACGTGTTGTTTTTTTTTAAATAAATTAAAAATATAATTATATATGTAATTAAATAAAATAATAAATTAAAAGTCAAATAATTAATTTATATTTTAATTGTTACTAAATTTAATTATTAATTTATTCTATAAAATTTTGAGTACATAATCTATTATTTATTTAGATATCTCTTTGACCCTTTTAGGTATTTAGACATTAATTATATTATAGAATTATTAATTTTTATTTTTTAAAAATAGATTGATTAAATTTCTTATAATACTATTATATTATTGCATATAATAAAATAAAATATAATATATATTTGACCATGAAATTCAATCTGATAATTATATTTGTATAATAATTTAACATATATATACGATTTTAATTCTTCATATAGATTTAGAAAATTGTATATACATGTAAAACTAATAAATGAATTCAAAAGAATTTAAAAGTCCTTAAAAAATATCCAAAATAAATTGAACTTCAAATAAAAGTAAAAACCAAAAAATAGATAAAAGTATATATATTATTAGGTATAATTGACTTTATTATAATAATTAGAGTCAAAATAGAATATCAAAAGTTTTTCATTTACTTCTATATAGATTTAGAAAAGTGTATATAAATGTACTACTAATAAATAAGTTTAAAAAAATTTAAAAATCCTTGTAAAAAAGTCCAAAATAAGTTAAAAGTTAACTAGGAGTACAAAACAAAAATAAGGTGAAAGTATATATATTGATGGATATAATTGATTTTATTATAATAATTAGGAATCAAATAAAAAATCAAAAGTTTTTTTTCAGNTAAATAAGTTTAAAAAAATTTAAAAATCCTTGTAAAAAAGTCCAAAATAAGTTAAAAGTTAACTAGGAGTACAAAACAAAAATAAGGTGAAAGTATATATATTGATGGATATAATTGACTTTATTATAATAATTAGGAATCAAATAAAAAATCAAAAGTTTTTTTTCAGATACTAACATTTATATATAGTATAGATAAGTGAATATATTGAACCAAACTTTTCGACGTTGAGAAGTAATTTCTTGATGAAATGAGGTTTACTCTTATCACTTGGGTGTCTTATGAAATGAGTATTTTAGGCTAGTTTTTTTAAAAAACCTAAAAATTTGTTCAACTTCAATTCATTTAGAATACAAGTTGAACCAAGGGTGAAGACAACCCTGTTCTAGGGTGGGCAAGTGCC